ATTTATCCCCAACAGAGTCTCCAGTTCTGTGATACGGTGACCAGAACCAGACTGTTTTGAAATGCTGATTTGCGTTTTGCATTTGTGTTTGCAAAATGTCGCGGTAAGCAAGAGTCGCCACCGACTTTTATTTTATCCAACAAGGAAAGGAAAAAAGCACAAAAATTCCTTTTTCGAGATTTTTTGAGTACGGGGGGTAGATTATAGAAATGGAAGGTATTAACACCCTTTCTATCTGTAGTTTTCTACGGGCTCTTAGGTACTTGCTCATCATTTTAAAATTGCTTGTGTGTGTTTGATTTGAAAAAGTTTTTGACTTCGATTTAACCCTTGCTCCTGTCTTCAAGAGTGTTACAAAGTGTTTTTGAAAGTTTGTTTCTGCCTTCTCATGCCTCCAAAGCTTGTGTTTTAGGTCTGCAATTGTATACTATATACCAAGGACTGAATTAGGGTTGAAATTCTGCTCTCAATCTTTGTCCATTATAGATTTTGATCTTGATTTGATTCACTTGAAGATCTTTCCAAAAATAGGCCAAACTCAATCTTTTCATGCACACGAGGGCCTTGCACAATTTGATTTACTTTCCAGCTGCATATGGGACCTGAAACATGCACAAAATCTTGAGGTTTCAATGATTTGAATTTTCTCATGATTTGTTTTGGAAAGACAAATGGAAAGAGCTAGAGCTCGTAGACCATTCTACCAACTCAAAAAAAGTGCAAAAGATTGGGCCCAATTAGAAAAAATTGCAATTTGAGGCATAGTCGACTTTTGACAATTTTGCAAAAAAGGTCAACTTCACCAATGCATAACTTCCTCAATTTTGATTCTTTGAAGGTGTTATTGGACTTTTTAGAAAGCTTGAGATGTCCTATAAGAAACCCTTTTTGTCTCATCTCAATTTGGTATTCCGTGTTTATGTATGAAGCTTTGACAAAAAAAGTGTTTTTGTTGACTTTTCAAAATGACCTATAATGTCAAAATTCATAACTTTTTGTGAGTGCATATTTTGAACTTGGGGGATGAAAATGAATTGTAGAGAATTGCATCCTATTCAAAATGAGATTTAGATGGATCATTTCTCATAAAGTATGAGAAAGTTATGCTTGGTCAAAATTGAGTTGACTTTTCCTACAAAACCCTAATTTAGCAACTTTTGGTTCTTGATGAATTATGAGCAATCCTTGATGAATAATGATCAATCCTGGATAAAATGATGAAAGTCACTTCAAAATTAGGATGTTGTCCAAAAATCTTGAAGTTTGACTGTATGGGGGCCACAGTTGACTTTTGCCCTAGCACAGTCAATTTTCAGGCCTTTGAGCAATTGACTGAGCAAACTTTCTCTGCAAGGCTTAAAACTTGACATGGATGATATTGAGAACATATTAGGACAATGGTGAGCATTTGGGATCCCTTAGACTCAAGTATCTTGATGCAACATGAAACCCTAATTTGAGGTAGACTGCCTTAGAAAAGAGCTTGTTTGGTCAATCCCTTGGACTTTCTTGAGCAACTTGAGGATCTCACTTGAAATGTATTGAAAAATATGGGAGGACAAATTTTGGGGTACAACACCTACATATCCAATCGTATTACATGCATGCAAAGATTCCTTCTCTAAGGCTGCCACCTAGCCCGCACCTACACTGCAAGAGTGACACTTATCATGCATGCATGCACCCACCACCCACCTCATTTATTCACTTCGTGATAAAATTTTACCTATAAATACAGAGTCTCACATACTTGTTTTACATCAATAATCATCTCACTATCTACTACAAACTCTTTCATTATCTCATACAATTTAAGCTATGGCTCTTCTCATAATAGACGATTCTCACAGAGGCATAAGGGACAACATTGCAGCGTTTGTAAGTTTTTTTAAATTCTCAAATTTTCTTGTATACTTATAATTTTTTTATAATATTATTAATGATTTATAGATCTTATGGACTCTTACACTTTTTACATTTTGAATTTAGGATACTAAAAGATTCAAAATTCGGTCACACAACTACATTGCTCCTGACCCGTTGATCGTGCCATATCTCGAATATGCAGGTTTCGAAAATGTTATAAAGATCTTCAACTGCATGATAAATTCAATGTTCATACTTGCAATGTTGGAAAAATGGAGACCCGAGACACACACATTTGATCTACCAATAGGTGAATGTACCGTCACACTAGAGGACGTGTACATGTTATTGGATCTCCCTGTCGATGGTAAGGCTGTTAACGGGTCGGTTGAACAGTCCAATTCTCTGTGCAAGGAATTGTTGGGCAAGGATATAGTTGAAGGTGGTGGCGCTAGAGGCCAAAGTATACTACTTATTGAACTTAAAAATCATTATGCTACTCTGGAGTTGAACGAAAATTTCTCCAAGCTAGTTAAAGTAATAAAAGCTAGAAATTATATAATGATATTTTTTTCGAACCTTTTTATTTCCCGAAAGTACGGAGAATAGTGTAAATTTCATTTATTTAAATTTACTTAAAAACTTTGAAAAAACTAGAAAGTATAGTTGGGATTCTGCTGTTTTAACCCATCTATACATGTCCTTGTGTAAAAATGAAACAACAGAAAAATATACTTTTTATGGATGCGCTTTCTTACTTTAAGTCCGAGGTTGGTGGAGAATGGAGTCCCTAAACCCCGTCAACAACAACACATTCATTTTTCCATACGCAACAAAGTAAGTCAATAACTAATATCATTTATTATTCATCTGTTCACCAAGTATATGATAAAAATAAACTATTTTATAATTCCTTTAGAAACTGCGTGACAGGTATGGATTACGGCAAGAATCCAAGATTCAATGTCGCTCTATATCACAATCTTTTGGATCACCTTGGCCCGAATGATGTACGTCATACCTTTGAACTTTTCTACCTTTAAATTATTTATTTATTACGTTTTAATTAAGCTGATTTAATTTTATCCACAGTTTATCTGGAGATCATATATGGGTTTAGACCATGAATCAAACTCCGAGGATGCAGCAATTTGGAGCGCAAAGACTGCAACCATACAATTCAACGTTGTGGAGATGCACCACAGCGACCGTGTTAAGATGCAGTTTGAAATGTATCAAGAGATACCCTACGATCCAACTTGTTTGTCCCCGTGGCATCTCAAAAGGGTCGACGTCCAATGGGGTCATACCAATTGTAAAGATTTCGCTCCAAAATGGTGTAAGATGTGGCAGAGGCGTCACTGACATGTCTTGCAATTCCCAATTTTCCTCAACCATGGTAATATGCGACACACTAATCAATATTTAGCTTGATACATATCGGTTAGTAACCCAGAAATGCACGTGTCTCATCCAAGGTATTTGGTTGACCCACGGACACAATGGGCACAACCCTCATTTTCCCAACAACAAACACAACACACATCAACCTCCCACCAACCTCCCCGACGAAACAGATCCACAACCACCCAACCACAATCACCACCACAATACGAATACACCTACATGCTCCACAACCAACCACAATCACCACCTCAATACCAATATCCCCATATGTCCACATCCAACCACGATTTCAATCACAATACCAATACACCTGCATGCCCCACCCATAATTTAAGTCTTCTTCATATCTCAATACGGGTCATTCAACATCTAACCTTAGTCTTGGTCTGAGATTTTTCGAAAAATATGACCCAACCGATCCAACTTATCATGAACCACCACATCACCAAAGCACCCAACATTCTCAATACCAAACACCCCAGGACTCATTTCCTTTCTACCCCCTACTCAGACGATCAGTTCTATAGGCCAACCATGAAACCCCACCCACCACTAAGACGACCAAATTTTGAGGATATGGGTAACCGACTCTACCAAAGCGGATCTTCTAGATATGTAGATCTGACCGATTTCATAGATCCGGAATGCATTGACTTCGCTGAATCATCGACCCTGCCACAACAAGAAACGTGACGAAACGCATCACGGGATAGGCGATGACGGGGATGCGGCACCGCGGGTCGTTACCGGATACAGGAGGACCACTAATTATTTTGTAATTTTTTTATGTAATCGATCCTATATCGTTTACGTAATGTCCCGCATTTAACATAAAAAACGAAAAAAAATTAGCCCCTTTTGCACTAAGGTGCCATCTCACTTGACTTAAGACACACTTTAACACCTAGGCGTCAAGTGAGATAACATCTCCCTTTTAAATTAAAGTGTAGACGCCAATTGAGATAATTTCTCCTTTGTGAAATTTTCTGAAACATGACTATCTATTTGTGTAATTTTCTCCAAAACATGATTATTTGTGATTTTTTTTTAAATCTAATTATTGCAAAAAAAAAATTCATATATTTCTTGAATAACCGTTGCTATATTATTCTTATATGTAATTGTAAACTAAGAGAGATTTGACTGATATGGTGTTACAAATTTGATGGTACCAAAAATTTGAAGATGTAATCTGTGGGGGATTGAAGTAAAGTATGTCTCATTTTAGAGGCAATCAATATGGTTCTGACGTGTCCCATCCTATTTTCTTATGTTTTTTGCCAGGTGGAACAGTTTTGACGTGTCGCATTCCTGATGCCTTAATTCAATACAGTATACTTCTCTTTTTGCCCTATCAAATTTTTTTTCAAGAGTGCTTTAAAGTATCATAGAGGACTGATTAAGCATTTTAAAGGTGTTATTTAATGTAATGAATATTACTAACTCTTTCCTTTTTGTTGTTGCACGGTCAGTTAAACAAAAAACAAAAGCAAAAAGACAATCTTGAATGCAAACATAAACTGAGAGAAGCAAACTGCGTTTATTTAGTTATAATACACCAACATAGTAGTGACTCAGATTTACCACCACACTCCACACATTTACATTATACTAGTAGTACTTATAATACTACTAATCACACACCACCACACATTTACATACCACTAGTACTTATTTATGGAACTAAATAAAAACGCAGTAGTAACAACTAGATGAAACATGTAGCACTAGTTATTGCCTTTTTCCGCAGCATGAAGACCACTGAAGTATCCCTGAGGATTACTTTCGAATGCTCCACGGGATATAGTTGACCCACCACCACCTGGGGCTTTCATTGAACCTCCTCCACCACCGCTTCCACTGGACCCTTTGCTTCCACCACCACCACCACCGCCTCCACCTTTAGCGCCTCCACCGCCTCCTTTTGCGCCACCACCGCCGCTACCACCTTTGCCACCCATGTCTCAAATGATCACAAATACAACTTTAAATATAAGAGTAATTTTCTAAGAAAAGGATAGTACAACAAATTACGCAGTAAAATTAGTTCACTATTTATAGATGAAAAAGTAATTAAGCTAATGGTAGTTGAGGCAGGTGAAAGTAATTTATGATCGATGATGATAAACATGAAAGCTTAACGCCACGTGTCTCATTTCATCATCCACTTAATGCCACGTGTCACATTTGATTATTTACTTAATGCCACGTGTCCCGTTTGATTAAATTTGGTAAATCACACCAGATAACTATTTTGTTTGCATCTATATTCACTGTTTGAGCAATGCTGTTTGTGGCAGTATAAACTATAGTCATAGATATGTATGCATGCTGTACTTTTGTACCTATCTGTTTCCTGTATACAACAGGACTCTATTCAATTATTTTTATCAAACAAAATATCGCAATCTAAATTTATTAGATTAATGCTGGTGATTAATTTGAAAAATACATTAGTTGTGGTGTTTAGAAAATGATTAAGGTTAGATTTTTTGTCATCATTTAAATAATCAATTTAAGAATAACAAGTGTACTTTCAGCCCCATTCTCTTATGGCTAAAATTAATCCACTTATTAGTGATCATGTGACCAAGACTAATTTACTTTTCTTCATTCTTCGTCTTCTAACTTTCACGGTCTCTCTCTTCTATTGTTTCTTCCTTTTAGTATACAATAATAAAACTATAAGTTCAATTGTTTTCAAATTAATCTTTTCAATTTGAAACATTTCAATATTAGCCAACAGGGAGAAAAGAAGTTCAACAATTTTCAATGTTGTATATATACTTGTAAATAATTAAGACTACTTATAATTGGGGTGTTAAATAAATTTTTCAATAATTGAATTATTTCAATAGATTATTGAATAAGGTGTTGAATGTGACATGAATTAATTTGTGTTGAGAATATTATGAAAAATGAGTAGGGGCCTTGTAAAATATAATCGGTTGATATGATTGTTTATATTTTTATCTTACTTAAATTATTTTGAACTAATTATTTTATAAAAAATTAATCTTTTATTTATTTTTATTTTCACTAAAACTCATTATTATTTTTTTTGTCTATAAATAAAGTTTTAGTTCATTTGATTTGAACAAAGAAAAAAAAACAAAAACAAAAATATTAATTAAAATATTTTGATTTAATTATTTAATTTTTAATTATTTTAATTTAATTTCAATTGATAATTATTATTAATATATAATAAAAACAAAAATATAAAAAAAATGAAATAAAAGTGATGAGATAAGGTGTTGAATTTTATTAAACAAAATCATTATAGAGAACAAAAGTTAAATAAATATTAAATTATTAGGTGAAAGAGAAAAAAGATGATGTAGAATATAAAAAATAGAAAAAATGAGTGTTGAATAATTTTATCATCGTAAATAATCTAAAAAAAACATTTATGTATTGGATTCATGCATGAAAACAAAGCTACTTATTGGGAATCGTAATATGAAAACAAGAGTAGATAAAGAAATCAAATCAAATCACATAAAATTGTATTTTAAATGATATCAAAATCTATACACTGGGCAGATCAAAATATGATTTTGTATAAAAAAAATGAATTTCTAAAGAAAGGAAACCATTATTACTCTTAAGAGATTAAGATGAACACTGTGTGTGACTTGCACTATAAGTAACCTATATCCTAGCACATTACATTGAAATTTTAAGTGTGTAACTAACTTTTAACTATCATCCAACATAAAACTAACTAATTTTAAAAAATACAGAGATTTTCAGAGATTTTTTTGTTTAATCAACGTAATAGGTGAGAGTTGACAACATGGTTTATTATATAAAGAGATTTTCGTATTCAATTTTGTATTTTAAAAGATAACTCAACCTTGATAAAAAAAATGTAAATATTTAACTATTAAAATTAACATTAATTTCATAGTAGATATCAAAAAATTTAATTCTAAAAAACCTTGAAACTTCTTCTAAAAATCAAATATTTAATTATAATAGATGAACAAAAAATTCTCGTTTTAATAGTCGTCTTAGGCCTCACATTACGTTAGACCGGTTCTGGATATTAGAGCATCCACATCCATTATACTCATTAAGTTTTTTAAATGGACCCTATTTAATATTTTATATTATTTACTCTTTCCAATTATTTAAACATCTCTACTATATTTTTCAAATATTCATCCAACCTTTCAAAAACTTAAAATAGGTCCCACCAAACCCATAATATACCACACATCTATATTAACTTTGGTACTTTTTTATTAAAAAATTAAAAGAGAAAGAAGGAAATAGTTGTAGAATCGGTGTTTATTGTGATAACGTTGGCTAATTGACGAACTGTTTATTTTTTCAATAATATATTGTTTTCTGACAGAGTGGTATAAAAAACAGTGTAGGAACGTTTAAATCCTACTGATAATCATGCTCTTACTTCATGTTCTTGGTTGACACGTCCATTTTTATGGACAAAAGTGCCAACTACATGGATGTAACATACCTCCAGCACTTCACGGATTTAGATAGGATGAGAGAATGGAACTAGGGGCTGGTTGTTTGGTATACATGTACCAAAATCTAAATGAAGCGTCTAACTGGAGGACACGACAACTGACAAGCTCTGCTACACTACCGATGGTAATTATCATTCCAACTATTAAATTTAATTAACTATTTATAACTATAATTTGTTCTTACATGAATCTTATTCGTTTTTCAGAGCTGGATCATTTATCACTTCCACCGCATCCATGGTTTCAATTATGCTCAGGATTATAGTGAGGACATGTCGAGGGCTGCTTGGTATGCCCCTCACTGAGGGAACCAGGATGTGCTGCATTCCCGGGTGTATCTAGATAGGATTGTCCATGATGACATCCAATGACGCCGTTCAAGGATCACCGGGAGATTATCCAGTTCGACCCAATCTCACTGTACTTTGGATAGATGACATGTGGGACTAACACTATGGTCAGGTATAGGCCAGAGCGATGCGTTGTCCGTCGGGAGCTCAATGGCATCTTCCAGGATTGGGAGAATCATATGGTGCTTGAGGAGGGTCAGATGATGCAGGCGACCAGCAGTTGACACTGTGTTGAGGGATACGTGACATGGTTCTACACAATGTCACATCTTGTCAAGACACCAGATGCTCCTGGACGTCCACCTAGGCCAGCTCATGAGGAGATCTTAGAGAACCAACAGGTCGAGGATGACCATGTCATTAATCTGTTGCCTATCTGTCACCGAATACAGATGATTGAGCGAGAGGCTTTGGACATAAGTATTATTGATCGGGGCGGTTCTGAGGTGGTGGCCATTGTGGAGCAGGTGGTTGGGGAGGCAGAGAGTGTGGCGGGATTGTTACCTTGAAAAATCTTAAGGTATTCAAGCACGTGTATTAAATGAGGATATTCTCATAAGCTAAGGGTCATCCTCTAAAGTAGGGTTTTTGGGAAATTAGAGCCAAAGTGTTTGAAAATTTGGTTTTATTAAACTAGATTTAATGTTTAAAGGGAATGTCACGCCAAACTGTCGAAACTGAGTCAGGTCGACCAAAAGGAAATAAAAGAATATATGTTAAGAAATGGTTGAAATTGGTTTAGTCGACCAAAGGGTGAAAGACAAGGAAAATGGTCGAAATTGGTTTTTATCAACCAAAAGGGTTTCTGGACTTAGAGGAATTGTTGTTGATTTTAAAATCTTGCCAAAGGGAAAGTGTCGAAGCGAGTCAGAAGCGGTTTACTTTCAGAAGCTAGGAGCGGGAAGATTTAAATTTCAAAGTCATCAGCAGTTGCCAGCGGTTTACAATTTGTTTAAGTGCCAAATAGGTGGCGACATCCAGTGAAGCGGTTGTCTCAAGATTTTAATATTGTCTGTAGATTTCATCTAGGCAGTTACATTGTAAATATTATAAATAAGCATATTTAGTGTAGTTTTTTGGTGTGTTCACTTGTATGCTCAAATCACTTGTCAAAACTCTGTCATTCTGAGCGTTAGGAAACAAACAGTGACGAAGTGCTTGATGTACGTGAATCACCACTTTTATTTCAATGCAAATCCTTTATTTTTCAATTATCTCTTTTGAATACTTTATTTGCTTTCTATGTATTGTCGAACAAAGTCTTTACGTTATTTTTTACTTCGCGTAAACAATTCAATACTCGTCGTCGGTCACGAGTCAGTAGTCAGTTAGTTTATTGAATCTTATTTTCATATGAATACCTTTTGTCAGTCACGAGTCACCAGTCAGTCTATTGATTCATAGTGTGGAAAGCCGTTATACTTGTTCCCTTAGTCACAGGAAACCATTTCCCTTGATAAGGATTTCAATAGAATAAGTATAATAATAAAACTCTTAGCACATGTCTTAAGATCAACTGGTTGATCTTGCGAGTTACCCTTAGTTTTAGGACTTTGGAAGGACCAGCGATTGTTTACCATTTTCCACAATAAACAAATTGGCAAACCTGATGGGACACAATGCTAAGAATTTGTCTTAAGTGTATGCAACTTAGAAATGGAAAGTTAACCAAAGAGTATAATAAACCATTATCTAAGAAGCATATATTAAGAATGACAATTCCTGATAATCCAAACGTAGACAAAATACCATCACGAACTTTAACTACTACTGATCCAGTAGTTTCTCAAGTTGCACCTTTTCCTCCAGTCGGGTCAACAACAGCAGGTTTCGCACAAATTTCTCAGGCTCCACCGGGAAGCCCAAGGAGTGTAATGACTACGACCACCATACCTAATGTTCCTCGTTTTGGTAATGTGGATCCTGTTATTGGAATGTTGTATTCCATGATGCCAGGATACCAGTCAATGTTGAATGCAACAGTGATGTTAGATAATATTCAAAATTTGAACTCCCCTTTACAAGGATCTGCACCAGGAGGAAATAATAGAGGCAACCAAATTAGAGGAATGCCTTCTCAACCAATAGTACCGCCTCTCACTAAAACTTCAG